TTTCGGCCTAACCTTCAAAATTATAACATGGGAATAAAGACCTCTCACCAAATTCTAAAATTAAGAGTTAGTTATTAATAAACAAGAGAAAACAATGAACAAAATAAATATACAGAACACATATAAAAATGCCCCGTCATAACTGTCCAAAACAATATCTAGATGGTATGATTTCGTTCATGTCATGTGCCTTGTTGTTTTAGTAACTCTGAAGTTTCCCTTAATGAATTCACTGATTGGTGTGTTGCGTTAAATTGGTTCATGTCATGGATATGAACTGGTAGCCATCTTGACTAGTTGGTGTGATTGAGTATAAAAAGGGATGGCAACAACTCAGAAAGGGTATCTTTGTATAGGCTGATGCTGCTCCCATCTCCGTGTGCATTCTACCAAGCATCCTTATCAGCTTCATTTTTTCTCCATCTCCTCTGGCCATGTCCACTATTACTGCTTGGACAGTGCAAAGAGGGGCTGTGCAGGTGTTTGGTCTGGGTTGATATACATACACATCAACATGAGAGGCCTGCTCCTTCAGGGTACAATGAATATTAGACTATAAACTGACTTGGAGAAAATTGTAATACAGTTCTGTTATAGTTCAGAGTGCAGAGACACTCAGGAAATCAAGATGGGTGACATGCCTCAATATACATGTATATACCCACAAACCTTATCCCCACTTACATACCCCCTCCCCCTCATATAACTCTCATTTCTACTTTCTACAACTTACATGTTGTTGAATCTAGAAACACTAACATTTTCATTCCAGATAACAGTTTCTTAAGAATCAGCAAATTGGGTCAACATGAATAAAATAATAATTATTAATTTATGTTTCAGAGCAGTTCAATGCATATACCTATAGGTGGGGCTGCACAACACTCATCTTTATTGGTTATAATGAAATATTTTGACAAATATATGTTGAATGTTATCACTAAGCATTGATAAAATATAAGCTTGTCAAATTTTATTGAAAAGAATTTGTGAATAGGGGAATTGTTTATTATGTTGACGTTAATTTTGGTATAATTTTATCAAAAGGTGGCGCTATAAAAGCAATTTCTTATGTTTATACTTAATAAAAAACTATTTGGTGGGAATGTTATTAAATGATATCTGAAGATACTAATTTATCACATTTTATTGAAATAAAGGCAGTAAAAAATGATCAAAAAAGTATTCATACTTGACGATTATTTTGGCAGCCATCTTGAATTTTCTCCATGAAGGCGTGTGAATTGCGCTTGGCAATGCCGATCAAAATCTTTAAAATGTCAATATTAGTCTGTGTGCCGAAAATCTGACATTTTCATTACAGATAACACTTATTTAAGATTAAATCCCACTTGGGTAGCAACACAATAGAATTTGCTGTGGTTTATTTTTAAGAATGTATGGTTTTATCAAAAGGAAAGTGCATTATTTTTCTATTGTTTTTAAAGAATGTACACTTGGCAAGCTATCAAAAACAAGTGAGACATAAATGACCATTGACAGTTTTTGATAGTTTTCATTCCCTAAAAACAATATACAAAAATACATGTACCCTTCTCTTGTTACTGTGCATTCTTTAGAATAAAACAATTTATCAATTTTTGTTGCTATCTACATCATTGATCTTATCTTACTTACAAATATTCTGCTGTATTCAAATGCAATGTTCTGGACTGGACAGTCACCTGTAGTGCACTGAAGCTAGACTAATTATAGCCCACTCAGTCACTTACATCAACTCACACTCATGAGGTCAATGCAACCAACTCTTTTTGTTGTTACAATTAATTGGCTATATAACTACATGAACAGTCAACTCAAAAGAACTCACTCACTTACATGTATCAAACCACTTACCCCTACATGAACAGTCAACACAAAAGAAATAAAATTTTCCAGATTAGATCATTGACCATTTACCTGCAATATACCATTTACCTGTAATAAGAATGTGTGTGATTTAAGTAAGATAAAGCATTCGAATTCGATTTGATAAGAAATAATAACCTCAGGCCTTCGGTGTATTATTTCTTATAAAATCTCATTCTTATGCTTTATCCAGTACATAAGCAAATTGGGTCAGCATGAATAAAATAATAATCATTAATTTATGTTACAGTGCAGTTCAATGCATATACCTATAGGTTGGGCTGTACAACACTCTTCTTTTTTGGTTATAATGAAATATTTTATATTATTTATGTTGAATATTATCAGTAAGCATCGATAAAATATAAACTTGTCAAATTTTATTGAAAAGAAGTAGTGAATAAGGAAATGTTTGTTATTTTGACTTCAATTTTGGTATAATTTTATCAAAAGGTGGCGCTATTAAAGCAATTTCTTATGTTTATACTTCATAAAAAATGTACTTGGTATTACTAAATAATATCTGAAGACACTAATTTATCACATTTTATTGAAATAAAGGCAGTAAAAAAAATAACAAAAATATACATATTAGACGATAATTTTGGCGGCCATCTTGAATTTTCACCATGAAGGAGTGCAATTCGCGCTCGGCAATGCGGATCAAAATTTTTAGAATGTCCATATTAGTCTGTGTGCTGAAAATCTAAGAATATATATGATCGTGAACTATCACCATGTTAGAAACCCATTAGTGATTTGACTATAAAAAAAGTATTCAAAAAATTAAAACAAAATCCCCCAAAATAGATAAAAATCAAGATAAACCTTTTATTTCATTAACAAGATACTTTTTTAAAATCAACCAAAATTTCCCTTATACAATTACAATATTGAGAGACCTAAACATGTTGTGTTTAAATGTCGTTTTGTCCAATGAGGTTCGGAAAGATGTTTCATTTCACTCTGGAAACATGATACCAAGAACAAAACAAGAGTTTGATGTGTTTTCTAAAACAAAATAGATGAAAGTACATATATATGTTTCAAATTATATTGTTACCATTCAAAGGATGACCATTAAATTGACGATGTGTAAAATTTTTAGAATTTTTTCATGACTGGTTTAAGAGAAACGTGTGTTCAAAAAGTTCTCCATATCGATACCACTCCTTTCTCCCACCAATTTAAAGTGTTTTACAGTATTGCATGGAAACGGCGCATGGACTTTGCATGCATGCGGTTTTGCTAAGGGTATACTTCAATTTTTTTTCAGAAGTTCAAAGCTATTTTAAGGTTTAAGATTTGACCTTCAATGACCTGTAGAAGGTCAAAAATTTATAAAAAGGTGAAAAACGTCTTTTTTTCAACTTGCTTTTAATTGATTAATTTTTTTTTCATAATCATCTATGAGTTCTCAGAAGTTCAAATCTGACTATAGATTTGAGACTTGACCTTCAATGACCTTCTCATGGTCAAATTGACCAAATTGTTTTATAAATCACATACAACTTCTCAGACATTCATAATATGGGGGGAATTTTTTTGTATAACCCTACTCCTATGAATTAAACATAATTAGTAGACTGTTCTTAAATTTTAGATTTTTATGCATTGCTACATATCAAATTAGTTTGTATAAATGACTGTAGCCTAAAGAATTGAAGGATTTTCACAAATAAATGGTTTATCGAGTACAGACATTTACCATACATTCACAATTACAGACTATTACAGCGACATCAGGACAACTAAAAGCAAATTCAATTATTCATTAAATTTTGGTTGAGGTTAAAAACATTAATACAGTCCATCGATGTATTCTATGCATTATTGAGTATGAATATGAAATATGTGGTTTTCCGTGACTCTTCAGTAAGGAGGAATGAAATACCAAGCAGGAAGGTGATGTGAAATTTGAGTAAAATTTGCAAAATTTAATCTAACAAAAATCTACCATTATTTGTAGAATTTTGATTAGATGTAAAATATTAATTCATCCCATAAATATATCTTATGCATTCTTTCACGGTGTCCAACCCAAACGCTCTTACATGCACAACGGAATGTTTCATCATGGGCTTTCAATTAGAAGGGTATGCAACTCTGTGTAATAAGCATGAGACCTTCAAAATGAGCAATGCCATGCTTGCATTTTATGGAAATATTTCATAAAGTATTAGATATTAATGTATATGTTTTAGTATTATTTTGAATAGAAATCAATTTTCAATATGATTAAAGCATAAGATATATTCAATCTCATGTAAAAGTAAACAAAAAAGACCAGAAAGAATAAGAGGTATCAAGATGTTCTCTTCGAGTATTGCATTGTGGGTAATTATTCAAGAACACATTCCAATAAAAACATAATTTGTGGGAGAATGTTCACTTTGTGTATTGTCATAATTATGATGAATTTCATTTTTTATTAGATTATCAACATGTATGGAGATAATCATGTTTTTATTTATGAGTTATTTCTTCAAATCATCCATAAAATGTAAAAATAAGATTTTCTTGGAA